GGTCTGTATCAGACGTCATGCTGCGGAGCTATGAATTTTCAAACGCGCCCATGCTCGTGAGCGCAAAATTTTCAAATTTGACCTTTCGAAGCCCGTAGCTGGAGAACGGTAGGACTTATCGGAAAAATTCTTTCACAGACGGATGCCCCGGCTCAGTGCGAACATTATAGGACATGTGCGGTCGAAATCTGTGCCGATCCAAAATTCAAAATTTTCAAAATTTTTAATATTTTATTTTCTTTCGAGTTCACGACGATCCGGGCCATCCGTTAGTGCAAGAATTTTTGCGCTATCTCTTATAGTTCGTCAGATATGTTCTCCTAAACATTTAATTCTCGATTTCAAAAATAACACTAGGTGAAAGCTTTCGACAGCTATAACTTTTAAACGAAATCTCGTAGGTAGGCGCTTTTATAATCCACCCAGAGCGCAGTATCTCTAGAAAATTTTGATAGCACTTCCATAGATTTCGGACCATCCAGTCGGAAGTTAAAGGTCTTCCTGTGGACTCAGAAAAACGCCAAAAATGAAAATAGGGAAAATTGCGTGAATTTCGTCGGCTCTAACGCAGACCAGGAATGAGACAGTTCTGAACTGTTTTCGTCAAAAACTTCTCATACTTTTTGGGCTTCGAAGGAGCCACGTTTGGTATGTATGAAACGTCATGCTGCGGAGCTATGAATTTTCAAACGCGGCCATGTTCGTGAGCGCAACATTTTCAAATTTGACTTTTCGCAGCCCGTGGCTGGAGAACGGTAGGACTTTTCGGAAAAATTCTTTCACAGACGGATGACCCGGCTCAGTAGACACATTAGAAGACATGTTCGGTCGAAATCTGTGCCGATCAGAAATTCAAAATTTTCAAAATTTTTAAAATTTTATTTTCTTTCGAAATTAGGTTTTTCCTGTTCGCGACGATGCGGGCCGTCCATTGATGCCAGAATTTTTGCGCTATCTCTAATAGTTCGCCAGATATGTTCTCCTAAACATTTAATTCTCGATTTCAAAAATAACACTAGGCCAAAGCTTTTGAGAGCTATAACTTTTAAACGAAATCTCATAGGTGGGCGCTTTTATAATCCACGCAGAGCACAGTATCGCTAGAAAAAATTTTTAATTTTTTATAGTTTCCAATTTCAAAACAGATGCTTGATTTATTTAGAAGGTTTTGTGACTATTTCATGTGTCTGAAAAAACTCATTTTTAGTTAAAGAAATGGAATAATGCCGACCGACAGGTTGATTTCGGAAATTGTGTTGTTTAATAAAACGGCAAAATGCTTAGTAGTAAAAGGTTACTCTCAAAAAAAATTTATATATAGTGCTGAATTCAGATTTTATTTGTCAAGTTAAACCTGGAAGACCATATAGAAGGGACTTTTCGACTCTTTTATGAATGATGTAATTTCAATTCTGTGCAAGAAGCATCTGAGGCATTTTTTCAAGAAGATTAATAATATAATTAGAGAGATTAGGCACACTAAGTAGTGAGTAAGGTGATTTATTTCTAGCTAAACTTTAATAGGTGTTACCTGGTGCTCCAATATATCTTAGTTACAATAATATAACTAGATCTCTTCCACATTTTCCGCGAAAGAATTCGTCCCAATTCAAGTTCAGAACCAGATCCTAAAACAATACCACTCGGTAATAATTCAATGACTCTATAACTGCAATTTGATTTATTACCAGAATGAGCTTCTGAAAGATCAAAAACGTTTATCCCATTATTCATCGCCATGGTGATTATCTCCTCAATTTTTTCACTGGTCAGACCTGACCCAAAAAGCGACCAAGTACCTTTAAAAAGTAATTAATGTGTAGGGCAAAATTTAAAGAAGGAATATCACATTAGAATAAGGTATCATAAATTATGAAACGACTTTGCAATTCCAGAAAATAGGCAAGCTTTTTGGTTTTCTTCTTTTAATTGGACGTTTTAATAATCAGATAGTAGCAGAAATCTACGATTTGATTGCAAAACAAAAGCACTCTTTTTTCCTTTTTCAGTCAATAATATCTTTTGAGTTAACCGCTTAATAAAGTTGAATTTTAACAAGTCCCTAGTTTTTAAACGTTTAGATCAGTCGCCTTTATGGTATTTCAATTATCTTTCTCCGTTTTTTACAATCTTATATGAAAAGTGAAATTTTTAACATTTCGTTGTTCTCTCTACCAATCAGTATCCTGAAAAGTGATTATTCGACTACATATAGTTTCTAGGAATAGATCGTCGTTAGGTGTTTGATCAGTTGCTCTTTTTGATAGTTTATGTTACTTACCTAGTCCAATGTTGGCGACTCTTAGGCCACTTTTTCCAAGATTTCGATACCGAAGTCCAGGTGGTAAGGATACTTGTTTAGTTAATTGGTAAGGATTCTCTGAAGAAGAATAAGACAGGCCACTTAAAAGAAGGCGTTCCTTACTTTCAATCGGTCGACCAGATGCAACAGCACCAGCACTACCAGCGCTAAATTCTTCCATGCAATCCAAACTAGCTATTGGTGCTCTACATCTAAAAATATATGGTTTTTTCCTGTTTTTCGTGTCATAATCTATTTTCAGGGATTAAAATCCTAAGGACTCATAGTTGTTGACAAAAAATGGGTCGTCCTGACATTAAGTTCTATTATTATTAAGAAAAACTACAAGTAATAGTATTAGTAATTTCTACAAAAGGACACTATACTGTCCCTATTATAGGATTCCGACGTCCCACTGTTCTAACGGTCGCAATCCTTTATTACCTATTAATTAATTACTATATCAGTCTTTTAATTTTAACTAAAGAAATTCACTAATCGTATAATTACCTACCCAATCAATTTTTATACAGGCTTTTAAAAAGTAATGGAATAAAACCTAATTTTAAAAATAGTTTTTATAACTTTTTGTACGCTTTATCGTAAAGTGTAACAAAGCAACTATTGTATGGTAAGGGTGAAAAGGCCTAATGAGAAAAGCAATCATTAACAATGATAAATAATAAATCATCATCTATCAATATAGTTTATAATAGAAAACATCAACTCAACGTTATTTATTCATAACTGCATTGTACTTTATTGAAGACCTTGAATTGCATCAAACTCGGAAAACTATTATCACCAATAAAATCAATAGATAAATTATAATGCCATTACCTGGAAGCTTGGAAAACTGTAAAAACTGTTCATAAGACCATTAATACGATTAGGTAGGTGCAAAAGCTTCTTTAAAGTTTACAGAAAAAATGTGAAATATATGTGCATGCTAAATTTAAATAGAGTTGGATACGTAACTTTAGAGGAATTAATTTTTCTCAATTTCTTAAATTTAGAACAAAATTCCCCTTAACTTAAAAGTATAACATCAAGAGAACTGTTTCGTTTTTTGGTTATCAAAATTATTATTTCATTATAGTTAATCTATTATAAGGAAATTAAATACTTGTTATAAATAGTTTTTAATACATTTTTGAGTTAACATGAGAAATCAGGAAAAGTACTTATCACAATCCTTTTATCTAGGATGAAAAACTACCCCAATATTTTAGAAAATAAATGTGAATTCGCTCGACTTGTTGCCAACAAACTTTTCGCTATCGCGCTATTCGCTATTAAAAGCTGCATCAGCCTTGAATTCTTCCGTGTTTTATATCAATATATTTAAGAACATCAGACCAGTAGTTTCTAAACTAAATCGATTACCCCAAATGTTGCAAATAACCTGCTCTTATTTTTCCCAGAAAAAAATATGTTTGAGAAATAGGCGATCGACAAATATGCTAATGAAAGTGTACCAAACGTACTGCAGCAATGTGTTTATCATTGTCAGGATTGTTCAATGAGAAAATAGTTATGTTATAGGTAACTAATATGTGTAAAGAGTTAACTGCAGAACTACTATTTAGTGGACGCACGCAAATTGAATATTCAAGGAATAGTTTGCTATTAATAAAATACCAAATTAATAAAAACTAGAGCATTTTGGTATACGTAATACTAGATCTAAGTCCTAATTGCCCACAAATATGTAAAAGTTGCTACTCGTAGCTTAATTATAGACAGAATGTAAATACATCCCGAAATTTCGCAAAGCACAACTTTCAAATCTACATCTACCTGCAATAAATAGACCTAGATAAACGCATGTTGACCTAAATTTCGCCTGAAATATCGATTACACGGAAATTTTAAAAAAGAAAACATAACCGTACAATAGTAAGTGAACGAGTTTTTTATAAAATAAAAATAGTGGGATAAATGTTATAGATATTTATTAAAAACTACTAGATACTCTGTAAAAACGTAACATATAATATCGTAAATAAGAGCTTTTCAAATCACTCTTAAGTATTATTAATTTTTTTTTAAATTGTAAAAGCCCCAAATGTTCATTAACCACTAGAGCATTACCAAAATGTATACACACTTCATTGTAATTTAAAACTAAATCTATTGCTTCCTATTTGAAGCCCATTAAATAATATCTTTTACATAATAAAATAAACAATTTTACCTGTAACTTTAACTAAAATTGTAGAAATTTAATTAAAAACAAACCAAAAGATAACTACTAAATAAATGACTTTTTAACTAATGCTGAAATTTGCATATGTACGTACCTGTAAATGGTTACAGCTTTAGAGTCGTCCATATCATTATCATTATTGTTAGTGTCATTACTCGCAGGATTAAACAGTGCCATTCGTGACATCCTTAAGGACTTAGTCGCAACATATAAACGTGATCAAAAGAAACAACAAAAATTAATAAAAAAGTACACACAAACGTTCGAAACGTTGCTCGTCGCCAAAGGACGAAAATGAAATAAAAATGACGGCATATATACTAAATATATTAAAATAAATTTACATAGACAGCAAGTTATCGTGTTAAAAGTATTAAAACGTTTAAAATATTTAAGCGACACATCAACGTTATTATATACATATGTACACAGGACTTTTAAGGACCTGACGTCAATGCAGTACCACTGCCGAGAACCGACTGGCGACGGAATTTTACGAAAAGGATAATGGAAGGATATTCTCTAATTTTATGTACAAGGATCTCTCGCAAAATTGCAATCTCAATTGGAGCGCCCATTGCAAAAAGGGTTTTTAAGTCAAATTTCACTCAAAATATAATATTTGAAGGATATTTTTCTATGTAAAGGACTAATGTCCTGAGAAACCTAGTCCAGAGTTGGACAGAGCTTTGGTGGGTCCATTAAGGAGCAGTGTAATCAAACCCTTTTACGAATTTTAATCTAATCGTTTTCGAGGTCCTTATGGTTAGTTCTTCAAAAGCTAATTGTTTAAATAAGAACTTTAGGCTTATGCCTTGGAGCTTTTTTACTGAGAGCTTGGTCCACCTCTGCTCTACTTCATACGAATTAGCAATTCACAATTCCGCGCTGAAAGGTCTAAAGTCTGGACTTTTATTCAGAGAACTGATACTCCCGACAGTATGCATACGTAAATTTACATAAAACTCCAGTAAGGAATTTGAATGATCAGGATACCGTGGATAGAGAAGGTTAGAAATGAATTAGAAAGAGTAAGAGAACAGAGGACTCTATGAAAGTCAATAAGAAATACCTAGGCGAGATAGGTTAGTAGGACACCTTCTCACGCATGAAGGTCTAGTGAGAGACATATTAGAGGTAAAAACAGGAGTTAAGAGGAGTAGAGGTAGACCTAGATTAGATTACTGTTCGCAAAGGGTAGAGGTAGACCTAGATTAGATTACTGTTCGCAAATAGTTAAGGATATGGGTTGTTTTAGTTTTAGGGAAATGCGAAGATTAGCGCAGGATAGGAAAGAGTGGAGGTGCGTGCCCAACCAGTCTTAAGACTGACGACCTTATGATGATGATGATAAAGGAATTTGATAAACTTGCTAGCGTCAGCTGTTATTAAATGTTTTTCGTAATTATCTCAAAACATGGATTTTGCAAGGGGCGCTTCAATTTTTTTTAGAATCAAACGTTTTTCTTAATTATCTCATTATTATTGTTTGCGTCGGGGCTGTTTCCGACATTTTTCCCTTTTTGGGCATAAACTTTTGCTTACAAGATCATTTTTAACGCTACTTGCTAATTGTTACTTCTTTTTAAAATTTAATAAAGCAGTTTTGAAAGTAGATAAATTATGAATCTAAACATTCCAATAAAATTGTCTAAAATATTAAAATAATTGCCCCTTTTTTACTTATCATATATAATATCATAAACGATCGTTGTTCTATGTAATTATTATAGTTTTTAATACATTTTTGAGTTAACATGAGAAATCAGGAAAAGTACTTATCACAATCCTTTTATCTAGGATGAAAAACTACCCCAATATTTTAGAAAATAAATGTGAATTCGCTCGACTTGTTGCCAACAAACTTTTCGCTATCGCGCTATTCGCTATTAAAAGCTGCATCAGCCTTGAATTCTTCCGTGTTTTATATCAATATATTTAAGAACATCAGACCAGTAGTTTCTAAACTAAATCGATTACCCCAAATGTTGCAAATAACCTGCTCTTATTTTTCCCAGAAAAAAATATGTTTGAGAAATAGGCGATCGACAAATATGCTAATGAAAGTGTACCAAACGTACTGCAGCAATGTGTTTATCATTGTCAGGATTGTTCAATGAGAAAATAGTTATGTTATAGGTAACTAATATGTGTAAAGAGTTAACTGCAGAACTACTATTTAGTGGACGCACGCAAATTGAATATTCAAGGAATAGTTTGCTATTAATAAAATACCAAATTAATAAAAACTAGAGCATTTTGGTATACGTAATACTAGATCTAAGTCCTAATTGCCCACAAATATGTAAAAGTTGCTACTCGTAGCTTAATTATAGACAGAATGTAAATACATCCCGAAATTTCGCAAAGCACAACTTTCAAATCTACATCTACCTGCAATAAATAGACCTAGATAAACGCATGTTGACCTAAATTTCGCCTGAAATATCGATTACACGGAAATTTTAAAAAAGAAAACATAACCGTACAATAGTAAGTGAACGAGTTTTTTATAAAATAAAAATAGTGGGATAAATGTTATAGATATTTATTAAAAACTACTAGATACTCTGTAAAAACGTAACATATAATATCGTAAATAAGAGCTTTTCAAATCACTCTTAAGTATTATTAATTTTTTTTTAAATTGTAAAAGCCCCAAATGTTCATTAACCACTAGAGCATTACCAAAATGTATACACACTTCATTGTAATTTAAAACTAAATCTATTGCTTCCTATTTGAAGCCCATTAAATAATATCTTTTACATAATAAAATAAACAATTTTACCTGTAACTTTAACTAAAATTGTAGAAATTTAATTAAAAACAAACCAAAAGATAACTACTAAATAAATGACTTTTTAACTAATGCTGAAATTTGCATATGTACGTACCTGTAAATGGTTACAGCTTTAGAGTCGTCCATATCATTATCATTATTGTTAGTGTCATTACTCGCAGGATTAAACAGTGCCATTCGTGACATCCTTAAGGACTTAGTCGCAACATATAAACGTGATCAAAAGAAACAACAAAAATTAATAAAAAAGTACACACAAACGTTCGAAACGTTGCTCGTCGCCAAAGGACGAAAATGAAATAAAAATGACGGCATATATACTAAATATATTAAAATAAATTTACATAGACAGCAAGTTATCGTGTTAAAAGTATTAAAACGTTTAAAATATTTAAGCGACACATCAACGTTATTATATACATATGTACACAGGACTTTTAAGGACCTGACGTCAATGCAGTACCACTGCCGAGAACCGACTGGCGACGGAATTTTACGAAAAGGATAATGGAAGGATATTCTCTAATTTTATGTACAAGGATCTCTCGCAAAATTGCAATCTCAATTGGAGCGCCCATTGCAAAAAGGGTTTTTAAGTCAAATTTCACTCAAAATATAATATTTGAAGGATATTTTTCTATGTAAAGGACTAATGTCCTGAGAAACCTAGTCCANTCACAAACGAATTTTTCATTGACTTTCGTACAGAAATGAAACAAATTATGATTGTAAATAATATATCATTTTTATTAATAAGGTACAAGTTGTTGCCTGCACAAATATTTTTATTTCAATTCGACAATTAAAAAAATATTAGCATTAATAAATTAAGGCAATTGTTTATTCCATCCCTGGTGGCAAAGGCTCATTGAGATTAGAACTACTTTCAATCTGAAAAATAAATTAATATTCCAATAAACATTAACGCCTTATATTAAATAATATTCTTATTACCGTTTTCGTAGTTACAATTTCATTTGGAACAGAAGTTTGTTGCTGTTGTTGTTGTTGCTGCTGTTGTTGTTGCTGTTGTTGTTGTTGCTGTTGTTGTTGCTGCTGTTGTTGTTGCTGCTGTTGTTGTTGTTGTTGTGAACCAAAAATAACTTCTTGTATCGCTGAAGGTATATGAGCCCTTTGGCTTTCAGAAAAACTGGTCAGATGTTGTTTTAAAGGCTCGTGCAGTTCAGGACACATACTCAAAGCCTCAGACAATTGAGGGCCCGGTAACTGAAGAAGAACTGTAAAACTTTGCGGCTTCGTCCTTTGGCAACACTTTATAAAACCTTCCCAAACAACCTTTTGCTTCCATACCTGCAAAAATGTTAAAGACAAAAAATTTAACAATTTTCAACAAACACACGCTAAATCAAAAGATTCAAAGTTACTCGTTTAACTGATAAATACTTTTATTTACTTGTTTTAAAATGAGTCTTTGCAATATATTCATAACGAATCCTGAAAGTCTTGGATAAGAGCTTAGAGCTTGTATAACGGTCCTCATTAAAAGCGTGGGAAGGGGAGTTTGCTCCATCAATTGCTGTAAAACGACTGCTAAAACTTCTTGGGTAAACACCTCAAAACAAATCAAATTTTAAGTAAAACTGCCATGCAATAATTCTAAGTTTGTTTTACTTGTTTTTCGCTCAGACACAGAGAAGTTGCTTTCATAACGGTCTTTAGATCTGCTTTAGATGTATCTATTAAATGCAAAGAAACCAATAATTCGGTAGGACTAATAGGACTATCACCATGTGTACCTAATAAACGATTAAAAACTTCGCGAACAACTACAGGATTTAATTTTATTAATTTAGGAAGTGCAGCAATAACCTGAAAATAAATTAAAAGTATTTTAATGTTTACATTACTAAGTATTGAAACAGTCAGTTTCTGTTTTCAAAATTTTAATTTGTTATTCAGAATTCAATTTCTGTTCGGCAATATTAAAAAATAATAAGAAGTTAAAATTCCTCTTACTTCCTTCTTTGTGAGGCCATTTAGAACAGGTATAAGGAATCTGACGTCAGAAACTCGTGTCTGATACAATCTCCTTACAATCTGTACAAGTTGAACACTTGGGGGACNTAAACTTTCATTATCCTTTTCGTACACTTTAAATAACTCAAATAAATTCATCAGGCAACTTTAGCTTTTAATGTCAAGGAAAATTAAACAATATTTACAATTATTAATAACACTTTTTCAACCTAAAATTCTAGTTGTTAATCCCAAAAAAAGTAGTTTTTTTCGATTGTGCTGAAACTTTTAGACAATACCTCATATATGCCTCGGGAAAATGCAATACTGCGCTAGCGTGTAATTATTTATGAACGCAATATATGCGTGAGTGAAACTGATTTTTCTTGATACTTAAAAATGAATAGAGTTATCTAGAAATGATTTAAACAAAATACAAAAACCTAAAATTGCGTATAAAAACATCCTAATTTTCTAACTGGGTTTTTAAAGTTTTAGTCATAATATGCTTTTAAATATAATCTATTTTTCTATTTACATAGTAATATACGATGTTTTTCATTCCTTATAATTCTTATTTATATCTAAATAATATAATTTTTACCTACAGTCAATTCTCAGTTATTCTTGTTTTAAGAAATTTTATTGATGTAATAGTAGTACCATAAAATTGTTGGTCCAATAAATAAGAGGCAGATAATTTTAATTTACTTTGGAGTGTGTAATACAGTACAAATTGTTTTGAATTAAGTATAATTTAAAATTTAATGATTTAAATTCAGTTTAAATTCAATAACGTCCAAATGAATTATTTTAGTCTAATTTATGTAAAAACAATTAGAAACCCCATTCAACAAAATTTTTAGTTACCTAGTTCATAATAAAGTTTTCTTATTATAAGTACTTTTCTGATGCAGCATTTCAAATTTAATTATTAGAACTAAATTACTTATACAGTTAATTGCAATGCAAAGGTCGTATATATCAAATTAACGGTTTCGGTATTCTATGTTCATTAAAAAGAGTGCGGGAAGATCGGTCTAGTATCTTGTACACACTAGTGGCGGATTATTGACCTGTTATTTTACTTACTATTCGGTAAAATTAATAAACTGACACAATTGATCTAATTTCGGCTGTGAAGAATTTGTTTAATCACTTTCTTTGTGTAAAAATTGTTTGAAAAATTAAATTCAAAGGAATTGTTTGTAAATAGGTATACAACACATCGTACACTTCAGCATAAGAAATTGCTGATACTATGTAATACTACTTAGCCCTGTGCTATCAGCACTCATAATTTCTTTTGTATATATTATTATCAGTAGTCAATAAGGAAATGTTTTTAATACATAAATGTTAATTCAAATGCAGATTTTCCAAGAATTCGTTATAAATTAAAGTCATATTGCAATAAAATAAGTTACTTGTCTAGATTATAAAATTAAATAACCGAAATAAATAAAATTGTATATATGCATATTTATAGTATAAGAAAATAGTTAAAAACTTTGGGTTATTAAAAAACGAGAATTAAGACGTAAAGTAAAAACCATTTATTGCTTTATTTGTTAACATGCTTAAATTTATATATTTTATTTTTTGAGCTTTGCTTGTCCCTTAATGTCTTCTTCTTCCTTTTTTGAATGTTTTTGTTGTCGGTTTTCTTTCTCCCTTTTTCGTCACTTTTATAATNTGAAAAATAAATTAATATTCCAATAAACATTAACGCCTTATATTAAATAATATTCTTATTACCGTTTTCGTAGTTACAATTTCATTTGGAACAGAAGTTTGTTGCTGTTGTTGTTGTTGCTGCTGTTGTTGTTGCTGTTGTTGTTGTTGCTGTTGTTGTTGCTGCTGTTGTTGTTGCTGCTGTTGTTGTTGTTGTTGTGAACCAAAAATAACTTCTTGTATCGCTGAAGGTATATGAGCCCTTTGGCTTTCAGAAAAACTGGTCAGATGTTGTTTTAAAGGCTCGTGCAGTTCAGGACACATACTCAAAGCCTCAGACAATTGAGGGCCCGGTAACTGAAGAAGAACTGTAAAACTTTGCGGCTTCGTCCTTTGGCAACACTTTATAAAACCTTCCCAAACAACCTTTTGCTTCCATACCTGCAAAAATGTTAAAGACAAAAAATTTAACAATTTTCAACAAACACACGCTAAATCAAAAGATTCAAAGTTACTCGTTTAACTGATAAATACTTTTATTTACTTGTTTTAAAATGAGTCTTTGCAATATATTCATAACGAATCCTGAAAGTCTTGGATAAGAGCTTAGAGCTTGTATAACGGTCCTCATTAAAAGCGTGGGAAGGGGAGTTTGCTCCATCAATTGCTGTAAAACGACTGCTAAAACTTCTTGGGTAAACACCTCAAAACAAATCAAATTTTAAGTAAAACTGCCATGCAATAATTCTAAGTTTGTTTTACTTGTTTTTCGCTCAGACACAGAGAAGTTGCTTTCATAACGGTCTTTAGATCTGCTTTAGATGTATCTATTAAATGCAAAGAAACCAATAATTCGGTAGGACTAATAGGACTATCACCATGTGTACCTAATAAACGATTAAAAACTTCGCGAACAACTACAGGATTTAATTTTATTAATTTAGGAAGTGCAGCAATAACCTGAAAATAAATTAAAAGTATTTTAATGTTTACATTACTAAGTATTGAAACAGTCAGTTTCTGTTTTCAAAATTTTAATTTGTTATTCAGAATTCAATTTCTGTTCGGCAATATTAAAAAATAATAAGAAGTTAAAATTCCTCTTACTTCCTTCTTTGTGAGGCCATTTAGAACAGGTATAAGGAATCTGACGTCAGAAACTCGTGTCTGATACAATCTCCTTACAATCTGTACAAGTTGAACACTTGGGGGACCCTTATCAGTCAATATATGAATAACTCTCGTAACCAAAGTTTCAGAACCTTTAGGACACTCTTCAATAAGCTTCAATAATTCCTGACATTCCATTCCCATATCTCTTATAGGATTTTCTAGCAACCTTAATATTGCCCTTTTAACATCTGCATTTGTTTGGATATAAATTTTCGTCAAGTCTCCTATAAGGACCTCGTTGTGAGGTAAAATTTTAATATACGGCATTAAGCAAGCTTTCACTAAATCCTCATTCCACATTTCTAATTTCACAGGTCTTCCTTGGCCCTCCCCGAAAAGTTTGTCAGGGGGATGTGAGGAACTCAAATAGTCCAAGTGAGCTTTTGCAAATTCTTCAATAGGATCTTTTAGTTTAGAGTTTATGTAAAGATCTAAAATATGCTTAAGGGACACGTCGCGGACGGTACCATATTCGTGGGTCGTTAGAGAAAGAAGAGCCTTTAAAAAGGGCACTTGTTTAGGGGGTTTTCGTAAAATCAAATCGTGCAATAAACCGGCAGCCCATGCACAGTGAGTTTCATCACGACAAACTGAACAAAGAATATCCAAAATTTCATCTGTTATCAAAGGCCCTTCCAAAAATAACCGGGATAATACTAATGCATCTGTCATTGAAGATGTCACAAATGCTTTAATAAGATTGTTGTAACCCTGCTCGGGTCGTGTACCCCGTCTCAAGGGGGGAAGTCTTGAAAAGCCCTGAAAATAAAAATAATATATTTTTGACTAATTAAACAATACTTTCGTGAATTTATTAATATTCAACTAAAGTGAGTCACCCAACTCTAAATCTATATAAATTAATTTTATACTTCAAAATTTCGATTTAATTAATAACGTACCTGCATAATACTGTACTCTTCATACAACCATGATAATGCTAAGTCCAGATGAGCTCGTAAGTCTGAGAGGAGAAAACTTAAAATTGTCTCCCAAACAGTTTGAGTGAAGGAAGTCCCCATTGTAACGAGTACCTTCTGCCGTAATGGTCCTGCTTTATTTGTACCAGCTGTCAACACCCTTTGCACAGCGTTTAACATGAAATTTTCCTTCAAGTTCTTTTCCAAAGGTTTCGTAATTTCAGATAATTTCAAAATTTTTACTCTGGGTACTTTTATTCTCTCTTTTTTCTGAAGGAAGAAAGGTATTAGATGTGTAAAAAATAAAAATTTACTGAATTTACCTTTTCTTTTTCAACTTCTTCAGTTTCCATCTTATCATTCTTATTGTCTTCTTGAATGGTTTCTATGGGAGGAAGGCTTTTTATGATATCCCCACCAGGGCCCAAGTTACTTTTTAACAAATAATCACCAAGAAGAGTAATTAATGCTTTATACTGTCCTACCATTCCTGTGCTGGTGAATTCTTTATATTCTTTATCAAAAAATGAGGGTGCTGATTCGGGCAATTTCCCCAGAGTTAACAGCACTAATTCAATTATTTTTTCAGTATTTATCTTTTCACAAACGAATTTTTCATTGACTTCAACTGCTTGTTTCTTTAGGTTTTCATAAGTTTCCTTATCCATGAAATCGGCATCTAATCTTTGTCTTTTGGTATTTTGCATATATTCCATCTGAATTCTACGTTTCTCTCTTCGTACTTGGTCATCAATTTTTGGAATCATTTTTTGTATTTCTGCACTTGAAACACCTTTAACAAAATATGTTATCAAACATAAAAATTGTTAACTCTACTTTGAATTCCTTTTTACCTAATTCTATTAACATTGCAGAGATGCTGTCTATAAAATCATAACTTGCAGGGTTTTTTATAAGCCCCATAAGTTCTGATTTAAGTTTCTTTCGTACCGAATTAACTTGAGTACTGCTCAAAGTAGGAGGTAAATTTGAATGAAGCAATTCAATAGCACCTATAACTTTTGGCATGTATGAGGGTCGATTTTTGCCAATGTTTGCCAAAGCACCCAAGCAAGCAAACAGATTTGCACTACTGATATGTTGTGAACCAGTAAATTTTGACAAAAGTTCAAAAATATTACTAAAATTATGAAAACAATTACAAATAAGATGTTTTAATGCTTTATATATTCACATACTGTGCCTCTTCTTCAAGTTTTCTCCTTCTAATGATCTTCAAAGTTAAAGGAACATCTTCTAGAGAGAAACCGCTTTTATTCTCACTAGAATCTGGATAAGTTTGCAATAAAACTACACATTCTAGAAACTTTACAGCACTTGTTCTGACCCCATCATTGTCACTGTCTACTAAATTTGCAATTTCCACTTTTATAACATTTAGCTGATTCCATGTCTGCTCCATTTTTTCTGTGATTGCTGGAGCTTTGCATAGCCAAACAAGCATTTTACGGTAAATTGTTATAGCTGCTTGAATTGCCCTTTTCTGAACTGCAATATTGCTATCAGACAATAACAAATGAACTGTAACCATAACATCTACAAGGTACTGTTCGTCTAACTTGCTACAAATCAGTTAAAATAGCAATAATTTACACATTGTAACTGCCACAAACCTACCATACTTCTTCTATAAAACCCATTAATGTTTTTTTAACATCTGCACTCTTATCAGTAACAAAATTGAGAATATTTTGTAAAAATTCACGTAACAAAAAAGGTGTTTTTCTAACTAAAAATTCTTGAAGTTTCTGTAATATCTCAACCTTTTCTTTAGGATTTGACGATACAGCGGAGATATTTAACCATTGTGTAATCTTAAAAATAAGAAAACAAGATTATAATAGCAACTTGTTGGGTAGCAACTTTCCTACTATATCTCTATCCGGCATTTCCGCATTTATAAAGTTGTCTCTATCTTCTTCTGCCATTTTTTAGGGTACGAAGAAGTTAATTACTTATTGCAATAACTCCTTAAACGATTAAACAAGCTCCATTCTGCAATATAGTTAAAAATATAAAAATAATCTGCTCGTGTTACGCCGACACAATATCCTAACCTAAAATATCGAAAACATTTCATTGATTGTTTCAGCCATGTTTCTACAGGTTTATTGATCAATTCTGATTGGTTGATTAGTTTATTCATTAAAAAACGTTATATACGATGTTGCCATTCATAGTTATCATTGAATCATTAAATCATTCATAAATTAATGCAAATCTTTGATTTAACATGATTCGCTTTTTTAAATCAGAAAATATGAAAATTAAATAATTACTTTAAGTAACTACTTATTTCTTAAAATTATAATGTATTCATTCAAATCGAGAATCCACTTTTTATTTTCCTCTTTTAAATGCTTTTGAGTTCTGACAACATGTTGATTAATGAATTGCCTCCCTTCTGTCAACAAAATACTGGACTTGTTTTTATTATTGTTTTTGCTTATTCCTGTTTACAACTGGATAGTAAATAGTGGTTAATATAAGTGAAGTAATTTTATCCCAGTATTATAATAACAAAAGTAGAATATAAATAGGAGCCGTTAGCAATTAATAAATGGGCCAAATTATAAGACTCACATATTGAGATACATATGTAAGAAATGTAAAATTATCTTACTACAAATATATTATAACAATGAATCCGGAATACACTGAAATGATTGCTGCTATAGCAATTGGAGTGCTATCAGCAATTTTTCTGAGTGCATTTATAGTGTTAATATTAATCTGCCGAAGACAAAAATTATACTACAAATCAAAACTTTGTGAAAATGATGACTTCTCAACAAGGTATCAACAAAATAAGTAGGAATATATTTGTCTTTCATTACAAACGCATTTTAGACCAGAGGTGATGCTTATTGAACCAGAAAAACCAGAAATTTTGTTAAATGAAGTAACATTGAATCCTAATCTGGAACAAATTCTAACTGATGAGCAATGGGTAGATGATGCAACAGGACTAATTCCTCATTGCCTATCAATTTTAAAAACATGTCGTTTTTTGACTGAAAGACTAACAGCCCTGGCTATGAGACCCATGAATTCTAATGGAACTGGGTTATCACAAATCATTGATGTAAGATGATTCATTTTTATAAATCAAGAGGCATGAGAATTGAAAATTTTAGTGTGCAAAGAGAATATCAAGTCGTGTTGATGATGTAGTAAGGAGCATGTATCCCCCCTTAGATCCAAGACTGTTGGAAGCAAGAACAGCAGCTCTCACACTTGCTGTAACTCAACTTGCCCTTATAACTAGATATGAATGTGGTCAAAAGGAAAAGAATTTATCATGGATTGATAAATCATTGGCTCAAATGGATGGACATGTTTTGGTATACTTGAAAAAATTTTGGTAATTTTGTGAAAATCATATCAACTGAAAACAATAATTTTAGGTTCTCAGAGAAGCTGCTCTTACACAGGAAGCTTCAAATAAAATCCAGAATGCCACAAATACTTTATTAGCTTAGGAAATATGATGACAATTCAACATATGAATCTCATTTTATCATTTATTGAATTTATTTTGATATGATATACTCTACATATTACTACACTTATTATACTTTCGGGTTTCAAATAAATGTAACTTTACCAAAACTTTTTTAAAAATACTAGAAATGCCCAGTGAACAGTAACATATACTTTTGGTGTGGCTTGAGACACATTTCAAAAATATTCAATATCTTGAGGTTGTATGAACAGTTCTTCAAGAGCCATAGGGCTCAATATAACCTCAAAATAATGTAAACAAATCAAGCCAAATTTAAAAAGAATGTTGGTGATGATAAATAAATAGTAATAGTGAACCATGCACCCAAACAAAGTAAAAAAATATTTTTACTTTGTGATATGTGCAGTTGTAGTGTCGTACATGTCTGGCCTATTTCTTTACATACTAGAAGAAGATTATAGCAAAGACTTTAAATACCCATTTGATGTTGATATAAACTTATTAGTTAATCAGCTAAGACAGAAAGAAGTACCAGATGTAGCACCAATTAATACTTACAACTATGATTATATTTATTCGTGTTCTCAGAAGTGCAAACTAGAGGATCCTCTTTATACGCAGGGAATAAGATTAGTATACTTAATTAAGTCAGCTCCACATAATAATAATAAAAGACTAGCAATCAGGAACAGTTGGGGATTTGAAAGACGATTTAGTGATGTTGAAATAAAAACAGTATTCCTCTTGGGCATAACTAGTAATGAAATTCTTCAAAGGAAAATAAAAGAAGAGTCTTCAACCTTCAATGACATTATCCAAGCCAATTATATTGACTCCTATTTCAATAACACAGTTAAAACCATGATGGGATTCAAATGGGCAATAACTTACTGCAATGAATCAAAGTTTTATATGTTTGTTGATGATGATTATTATGTATCAACCAAAAATGTTCTCAGATTTGTAAGGAATCCAGCAAATTATCCTCAATATTTGAAAGAATACCTCCAAACTTTACCAAAAGTCAAACTACCCTTTATCAGAAGAAAAAGACAAAATATAAACTTTGAGTTACCAGAAGATGTTAAACTATATGCAGGATATGTGATTGTGTCAAAACCTCAAAGGTTCATAACAAGCAAATGGTATGTAAGTTTAGAGGAATACCCATACAACAAATGGCCTCCCTATGTCACTGCTGGAGCTTATGTTCTATCAAGAGAAGCACTTTTACAAATGTACTATGCCAGCTTCTACACTAAACATTTTAGATTTGATGATATTTATCTTGCACTTGTAGCTAAAAAAGTAGATATTGAACCCTTTCATTGTGATGAGTTCCACTTTTATAGAAAAAAGTATGAACCTAAAGAATACCAATACACAATTGCATCACATGGGTTTAATAATCCAGAAGAGTTATTGCAAATATGGACAAATCAGAAAAGTTTAGGAAATGCATGATATTTTTCAACATTAAATGGAAATTATGTGATCTGAAAATAATAAGACTGTTTAAGAAAATAATTAAAAGCATATCACAGTTTTATAACACAGTTGCTGCATAACTTATGCAATAAAGCTGTAAACTACTAAATGCATTAATTTTATTTTATTAAAAAAATGTGAAGATATAATAGAAGCTGTATGTACAGCATTTAAAAGTCC